CATTTACTACAAGAAACCTATATGTGCAGGTTGTTCTTGTCAACAGTGGAGATGCTTTATTAGAGTCGAACAACGAACTAGAAAATTTGATGGCCTCATGAGATTAATCTAGATATGCATACAGAATATTTTTCATAATATATCTTAATGCTTCTTATTACCGAAAGACTCTTTCTTTCTTCTTTTTTCCTCCTTTTGGGGCAAGGTTGGAAGGTACCGCCTACCTTGTTGGAGAATTTTTTTGACTGTGATTTGCCTGTTTCGTTCCCTGCATGTTTTGTGGTACCTGACAATTGAATTTTGTCACAGCTGATAGTGTATGTATAGATGTCTAGAAGATTGTTACTAAATGATTCAGGTGGAAACAAATTGAGCTTCCATTAAGTGCTGGCACTCTGGTAGTAGGTGTGTATCCTCTTCTGTTAAAACAAGTAATATCTGGAATTTGTAGTGGTTTGCAGAGATAGGATAACTCGAGAATATTGTTGTCTTTGGATGTTACTTCTTCGATCAAGGCTGGAACAGAGAATGGATAAACAAGCAAAATGAAAATGCATTAATTGTTCAAATAACCACATAAATACAGTGTCAGAGACCAAACGTTTGTGCCTGATTTTGTTGAAAAAATTATTCCCTACCGTCGTTTTCTGATATTTTTTTAATTATTATTAATGGTCAAATCAGGCAGGATGATACAGCACAAGAGAGTATTAGTATATACATGTATAACTTGGTCAATGGCTTTGGTGAAACCCACCTTTTCCTATAAGATGTCAGATATCTTTTTTATTTGCAAGTGGGATATTTGATAATGCAATATTAGTGGGTACCCATAAAAGCTCCATCCTTCTCATTTCTTAATTTAGTCGAAGGATAACATATTTGGTGCCAGTATCTTGATTTTCACATTTCAAATGAATACATGCTTATGGATTGAAACAATAGTTCTCATAGGCATTTTAGAGGGACCAATTTGGTCGCAACTTAAACTACAACGCCGCTAGAATGAATGAATAAACAATCTTGACATGATATGGACTAGTGTGTATATTTAGAATTTTAGATAAAAGATAAGTATGATGTCACTGGCTACCATTATCTACTTAATTTTGAGCCATGTATACGTCATTACACTTACATGCATGCTCTGGTTAACTGAAATTTTCATCATCGAAACTGTGCCAGGTAGTGTATTATACGTTAGAGATAATTAAAATTATCGCAATTTATTTGTTGAAAAGTTCGATTGGTGCTCAAAATACCCTATGATGTTTCTGAACCTCATGTTGAATAAAATTCTGACAGCAGCTTTTGCATGCAGCTATTTGGTTGCTTCTATGGCACTACAAATTTTGTGGAGCTTTGGGCTCCTATGTCTTGATTTACATGCTCTGAAGTTCAAAAGAGATTTGCATAATCCTTTGCTAGTAAGCTTGTTTGTGGTTGGTGACTGGGTAAGTTCTTTTCATCCTTTTGCTCTATTTGTCTTCTTTTTTTTCTTCTCTATTTGTCATCATTATGCCTGAAACTCAAGTGCAATGCATCAACAGTAATGACAGAAGAACTTTAGTGCCACATTCTGTAGAACATAGAGATTCTTTTCGTTTCTTTATTTACTACCATTTAAAGAAGCTGAACTGTGAGCGTTCTGCTTGGTTTATGGCATTTAAAAGTTCTAATTGCCTCACCTTTTTCCAATTTCTTTTTTTTTTGTTACATCCAGTTTGGACAAGTCTGGAAACCAGAACCTGTACAATGTGAAGAACATTAAGAACCATCAATTTCCCCGAATGGTTCCTGAAATCAAAGGATCATTTTACAGTTTCATTCATCCATGTTGTTTCCCTTTTGTTGTGGGTTAATATATTTTCTTCAATTGTTTTAATGACTAGAATTAGTTGGTGGGGTTGTGTACCTGAGTCATCCGAGCTCAGAAGCTCGGATCAGAAGTGCAGAAAAGTTCCAAGTTATTATAAGTATCAAAGCTGGTTGACTTAATCTGAAAGTTATCCTTTTTGAAATATGCTAAATGTCTCCATGTGCATCGCTCGTTAGTGGAAGCACATCTTCATCGCATTCATTTTCAACTCTCCTTAATCCGTGCTGTCCCTTAACAACGTTGTTGATTATTATAAGGTCTTTTGTTCTCCTACTTATCACAGAGTACAAATTAGAACTACTCAAAGATTTAAACAGGTATCCTAATTTGATGCAGGTAACAGCGACACTCACACTTGCAGCCGCGTGCTCTTCAGCTGGTGTGGTTGTTCTGTTCGTGAGGGATGTGCATTTCTGCAAAAAGTATCCTCAACTCTCATGTGGCATGTACCAAATCTCCATTGCAATGGCTTTCATCACATGGTTGTTGGTTGCCAAATCTTCCCTGGTAATGTTTTGGATCCTGGCATCTGGTTGACATAAACTGTTTATGCTTTCCTTGGTGACTGAAGTTTCTGTAAAACAAACGGCACTCGGTACAATGTTTGTTCTCATTTTTGTTTCCCAGGGGAGATGGTGTTAAATCTGTAATGCATTTCTCAAATTATAATGATTTGATGAGCTCTACCATAGTAGTTTACCATTGTTGATTTATCCTCTTTCTTTACCAATGGAATGATAAAATTGACCATGGAATGAATAAAATTGGCAGTATGGACATTATCTTAAGATTTAGGGAATATAGGTTATATGAATGCTCTTAGAAGCAGAGGTGATTAAACATCACTGTAAGGATATATTAGCATGACAATGACTAGATTTAGGGTATCCATGAACACCGGAGAATTATTGTAGTTAGTCCAAAGATGTTAGATATAAAGACTAGTACAGCTAAATAGTTTAAGTACCCATAACTAAGGCCTGGAATTTAGCTTAATGATCGTGGCCGTAATAGATGGACATTGTCGTGTTACACCATAATTGTAATTTCATAATATGCTTTCAATTCTCCACCTATTAAGACAAGATGTATGGATGATATATGCTTTCAATTTAATTCTTGAATAATTATTTTTTATTTATTTTTTTTTCTTTTTATAGTGTTATTCTATCTTTTAGGATGAAATATGCCTAATTTTATTCATGAATAGTCATTTCCTATTTTCAATTTCTACTATGATATCAAATTATGATGATGACTTTTTCTATTAGGACAAGATATATCTTCGAGAAGGATGAGATATGCTTTCAATTTTATTCACAAATAGTCATTTTTTAGTTTTTGTCTCTACTCTAATATCAAATTATGGTGTTGACTATATCTATTAGAGCAAAATATGCCTTCAAGTAGGATGGGGTATGCCTCCAATTCTTTTCATAAAGTCATTTCTTATTTTTCGTTTCTACTCTGATATTAAATTATGATGTTGACTTTTATCTTTTAGGAGAAGATGTGCTTTAAGAAGGATGGGATATGCCTCCAATTCTATTCATGAATAATCATCTCTTAATTTTCTTTCACTTATGCTCTTATATCATTTTGTTATAATATAATAAATCCTTCTAGTAGATAATGATGATCCATCATATTTTTTTTTCCAATTTAGTCGCCACAGGAATAGACAGATACAATTCACGTGAATCAAATGATAAAAAGACGAGGCATCATAGATTTTATTTTATTTTCCTTCTCCAGGAATACTATTTCTTTCATTTTTCATCTTTCGGACAAAGAAAAGGCAAATGGAGGACGAAAGGTTCCCTACAGGTCCTATTTGAGCGGTCCTTAGAACCCAATAAGAAGTCACTTGTCCCTTCATCTAAAAATTCTTCACTTTATTTTAGCAATTATAACACGGTTCAAAGCCAATCACGTCATGGGTCAGCGTGCTTCACGTGTGTACTGCTGCCAATCACGTCATTTGGCTCTTTCCGGAGATGGGAGAACAAACCTTTGCATCATTGACGGAGATGCTGCAAGTTCTTTCGATGATCAAGCTCGAATCACCTAAATCTTCGAAGTTGGTAGTAAGAACAACTTACCATCATTTGCAGCAGTAGACTTACAGGAAATAGAAATCGCTAATCTGGAGGAGAGAAAGCAGTATTTCTCTCACTAAATCTCTCGTTTTAGTAGGCAGCCGCCGGAGTTGGAGGAACCATGTCGGTCGGTGGCGGGATAGGAGTTCAAGTCGTTCTTCTCCACGGTGCATTGGTTCGAGCTAATTAAGTATTTATTTTTAACTATTCATACCATTTCAATCCCTATATTTTAAAGAGTTATATTAATATATTTATAATTATGAAAATAAAACATGTATGTTTATATTTATCCTAACATTATTAACAGTTTTATTAATAAAAATATAAAATAAAAAGATAATTTTAATATTGTAACGAACGATACGAATGAAATATGAGGATTACTCAAACAACTGTATCGACGTCGACATAGATGTAAAGTGACATTACTCGATAATTATGTCGACGTCCATGCAAATATAGAGTGGTCCTCACCTCTCTCGTCGCTCTTCTTATCCACAACAGTCATCTATGATCCTAGCAATGTCGTCATTCGTCACTACTAACTGAAATATTAAAATTATTTTTTTTTTATATTTTTATTAGTAAAATCAGTAACATTAGTGTAAATAGATATAGATATTTTGCTTTCATAACTATAAGGATATCAATATAAAATTTTAAAGTACAAAGATCATCAAAATATTAAAGATAACTAATTATAAAGATAACTGTCGGTGGCAGGAGAGGAGTTCAGAGTCGTTTTCTCCACTCGGCGGGCCATAATATGCCTCTCTTTTGCTTGTCCTGACAGAGACAAGTCCAGCAAATGTAATACTCGAGACCACAAAGATTGAGACTGAAATGTTCTTAGAAAAATACTGACAAAAAATTGGGGACCCTCGACCATTGTAAAGACGAATATTGATTCAAGGATGGAGTTTAACGAGTGACAATGTCTCGACTCAACTTTGAAGTTAGATGTCAAGTTAGCCACTTATTACTCTCTCAGATTTCGTCCCTACAAAAACATACTCGAATTGAATAGTAGAAAAATGTTCTCATTAAGCTTACGCAACTTATTACACTTCAAAAAGATGCAAGAGAAAGAAAAATACAGAATCACACACAAACATTCTTTACACAAAGCAGGACTTACACTTGCAAACCAATACAAAAGCAGACATACAATGACAGGAGCAAACTAGTGGAGTATGCTTTCAAGAGTGGGGGCAGGAGAAGGAAACAGGCACACGAAACATTCATGACGACTCTACATGACAATGGCAGGCTTCAGAATGCTGGATTTTATCTCCTTGTGTGGGAGCACAACACCTCCGTTACTGTAAACCTCATCGCACACATGCACATCCTCACCGAGAATGGTCATATTCTCGACCCTCGCCCACTGCCCCACCGTGGAGTGCCACCCGATGATGCTGCTGGAGATGCACGAGTGCTTCTTGATGCGGGCGGCCCTCATCACCGTGCACCTCGACAGCCTCACTCCGTCCTCCACCACGCATCCCGGGCCGATGGCAACATCCGGACCGATGAGGCACCCTTCTCCGATTACAGCACTCTCGTGCACCAACACATTCCCCACGATGTGTGGGCCGACGGCTAGCTTGTATGGTTTTCTCCTCCGTATGGCCTCCAAGTAGAGCCTCAAGCCTGTGATGTAGTCCTTCGGCTGCCCGATATCCATCCAGAAACCTGGGAGGACCATGGCGTGGAGCTTTTGATCCGCTGCGATCTTCGGGAACACCTCCTTCTCGATTGAGGTCGGCTTGAGTTCGATGCGGTCCAACACAGATGGGTTCAACAAGTAAATTCCAGCATTGATCTTGTTTCCCACGAATGTTTGTGGCTTTTCCACGAATCTATCAACCTTTCCGGTTTCCTCCTCCATGACAACTACACCATACTTGGATGGCTCCTCAACCTGTCAGAAAAGATGAGATTCTTGCAGGGAAGCCGGTAACATAAGGTACCGTAGCCAGGAGGACTGTACCTTGGTCACCATGATCGTTGCCTCGCTGCCACGGGATTTATGGAACCGGATCAGTTCAGCAAATGGGTACTCGCTGATGACATCGCTGTTGAGGACGAAGAAGGGCTCACCAGAACCATCTATTAGCTTGTCCCTGGCTAGAGCCAGGGGACCAGCTGTTCCCAGTGGCTCGGTTTCTTGGGAGCAGGTGATCTTGATGCCAAGCTTGCTCTCAAAATCCTTCAAGAAGTTGAGCATCACCTGCAGGGAGAGATGGGCTGGAGCAAGTGGGAGCACAGAAACGGAAGATGATCCGATGAAGCATGAGAAAGAAAGGTGGGGGTACCTCTGGTTGATAATTGATGGCCAGAACGACTTCGGTCACTCCTACATCCTTCAAAGCTTCGATCTAACCACAGGCGTGGCAGAATTGGTTAGAAGAGATAGCTTCGATCGAATCTGTCTTGCACAGTTTGCTTTATGAAGGCTACGCTACTTAAATTTGTCATAAACCAACAAAGGAATCAAAGTAATCGAAAGAAAAAATTGGCCATGAAAATAAATTATAATTCCATTCTTCAAATGGCATTCACCAATTTGAAGATTTATATTCATGTTGCTGTAAATTGAATCTTAGTTTCCACACAGGGAATGAGAACACTCCATGACTAGGATGGTGAGCTTATGTTATCGATCAATCCAGAGAGAAAATTAGACTTGTAGTACCATAGTGTTGGGTCCTTTTCTTCTCGTGCATAGAGGAATTTGTGTGAACAAAGGATATACCTGATGCAGGATCATTGGTTTATTAGCGAAGTCAACCAGTGGCTTTGGAACACTGAGCGTCAAAGGACGGAGACGGGTGCCAAATCCTCCAACGAGAATGAGCGCTTTCATGGTGGAGAGCTTCCCCTTTCCTCTGTCGATCAAATGACAGAAATTAGAATCGCAGAGAGAACTACTTAAAGGGCAAAATAATGCAGGCAGGAGCACATCTATGCAACTCTATTCTGACGTGTGAGAGTGTGATTGGCAGCTTGTCCACAGGGGACCCACAAGGCTACTGAAAGTTGCAGACTCGTGTCCATTAAGACTCAGAGCAATGAACTGTGGAGATAAGGATCCAAATATCTATCTTGACCCCCACCCTCCCAAAAAAACACACTACAGAATGAGAGCTGTGATCAATTTTTTGCAGAGTGGGCACAGAAGCACATTGCAGGTGTCAATTGAAGTGTAAACCTCAGTGTTTTTGAGGATACAATTGCTGCTATCACACTATCAGATCAACAACAGCTGATTCCATCTGATTCGCATATGAATCCAACAACTAAAGAACCAAAGCTGTAATCTTCCTTATTGTTTCCTGGTGTTGTTCCCAGCATTATGCAGTAACTTCTATCCATCAAAAGTGGGATTTTTACATTGATTTGTAGCGGTCATGCGATTCTCATTAAGCTCGCAATCATTTGCCACATCCGAGAAGAAGTTTACAAGGAAAACAGGATTTCTCCACAGAAAAAGGGCAGAGATCAGAGTTCGACAGATCCAGCAAAATCGTCGAAGAAAAGGACTCTGTTGCGTTGAAAATGACATCTTGAACTCAGAAAACAACCGAAAAACCACCAAACAAATGAAAGCTGAAGAACCTCTAATTCTAAATCAAGACTTATACAATCAACACGGCGATTTATCCGATTAACCGCTTCCTTACGGATCCACAGGGGAGAACGGCTGCAGCAACCAAATCTCCTCGAGAGATCAAAGGGAACGCAGAGGAACAAGATTAGAAGCTAAATCCAGCGCGTAATTGAAGCAAAAGTGAGCAAAATGCGATTAAAGCGGAGGAAATGCCGGGATTCTTACAGCGACAGAGACGTGAATTCAGGCGAGATCCGATCTCTTGTCCGCCCGCTTCTTTTATTGTTGCTTGACGAGGGAAGAGGAGGAAGAAGAGAAGAGGAAAAAGGGAGCTTATTATTATTATTGTTAATCCAATTATATTACAGCTTAGCTGGCGTCGAGGAGGAGCCGACGCGCTTCATTTTATAGTCTCAGCCCGGCAATAAAATATTTTTCCTTATATTTTAGGAGAATATTCAATATTTTTTCGTCCAACTCAGATTCAGGCTTCTCATTGGTTGATAGATCTGGACCCCATTATTGGGGCGCCATGGGAGAGACGATCGATAGATCTCAGTGGACCCAGACGCGTCCTTTTCTGGTGCCTCTCATTGGTGCCAGCGTCGGGGTCCGCCATGATAATGACATCTTGCTAACGTCATGCTCGAGGCTCCTAGTGGAGCGATCACGTCCTTATTGTGGTTGGTGGCTCGATCGAGACACACGAGACACCGCCGATGATTGATCCTAGGATTCCGCTCGTTTACTTAAATCGAACCAAAAAATTATTTTGATTTGATTACTATAAAACAAAATGTTTTAATTATTACTTTATAATTTTCGGAGGATATATAATTCAAATTTAGATTAAAAAAACGTTTACTTAGGAGGAACATAAATGTGAATTTTAATCTTTAATTAAATAAAATAAAGTGCCACATGCATCGTCCTAAGTTCGTTCGTCAACCAAATCGTCTACTTGTGTGCACTAAATCACGCATTAACTCGCGGCATGTAATTGCTCGTGTGTGTCGACGATGGCGAAAGCAATCGTTTCTGGTCTTCTTCTTCTTCTTACACCCACCGACCGATTCATGGATGGGTTGGTCGATCTGGCTGGACTCGTGAAAGACTAACATCGAGGCCAATCTTGTCTATGCCCTACCAATATAATAATCTAACTCGAGCGTTTCATTTATTGGATTCGTGCCCATTAAATTAGATTAGATGCAGATTGGGCTACGGGTTCGATCCAACACAATTATCATGTGGTCTTGATAGTGTATGTAATCTCGAGGCAATAGCAATGTGTATACGTGCGGATTCATATAACCTAATAGATCTGAGAAGTTAGATTATCAAATCACTTCACGGGATCATGTGTCTCGATCAGATTGTCATGCTAAATTAAAAGCTAAGATATGTACGACCTTGAGTAGCTACTACTCGATCATGAAATAAACCTAAGATATGCAATCAGAGCTTCATTATTTATATATTTATTTAGTACCATCTTTTTTTTTTGTGAAATAGTAAATCTTAGCAAAATATGAACTGAGTTGTGACAATTAGGAAGTATTCCAACCGATCAATGAGGAAGTTTAGTATGCCACTGGTTGATTTGAGATTGTTTTAGCTCAACAATCACCCGAGTCGAGCCCGATATAAAGTTCAGTAATTGGTTTAAAAAGGTTTATTATATTGGGGCTGTTATTTAGAAAGTTGGATTAATTTTATTTGAATGAGATATTTTATATGAGATTTATGATGTAACATGATGAGTTAGGTATGATACTGTTGATGTCATTTCATACATGTCATGATATGAGTGATACATGCATATATTTTTGTTGAATGTTACCATGCATATGCATGATAATAAGATTAGAAACTACGAGTTAATCAGTAGATCGAATCTTATATCCGCTAAGCATGATCCACTAATCATGCTTGACCTCGCCCATAAATTGGCCAACGGACCTCAATTTCAATTAAACCATGCACGATTTGGACCCAATTGATGCTGAGTAGGTCAAAATCACACTGAACCGGCTTGAACTGATCTGTTAGAAAACTCAACCGGTCACAAAATCTCAATTGCTCTGAACCAATTTGAGTTGGGGCTCAATTGGCCTGAATCGACCATAAATAAACCCAATTAGGCCTGGATTCTGGATTAATAAGTCTGAACCGACAACAACATTTGAGCTCAATTCACACGAACCATCGTCCTGCACATTATGATACTCGACCGAAGCCATCGAAAGTGACCATGATTAGGCCTGAATCAGACCCGGTCGAATTGGGCCGCCCAGTAAGCTACGCACACTGTTCTTATAGATTTATCTCCACATTCATGCCAACTTATTCCAAACCACTTCTTCTGCAAAACTTAATGTTGGAGTCAACCGAGGTAGACTTATTCCAAGATCGACTAATCCACAGCGGTCCTTAATCGTAATTATATATGTGCGCATGGCTTCATCAAAATGGGGCTCCGCTTTGACCACGTAAAGGTCGTCGATCGCATGGAATAAGGGTGGGTTAGAATACATAACGAGCCCACCATTGACGTGTTCTTAATAATGATTCGTCAGTTTAATTTCTTTTTTCGCATGTTGGTCAGCATATCTACCAAGTTGGAAGTGAAAGGACATTAAAAGCTTCGAGTTAGAACAAACAACGAGGGTAATAAAAATATGGGAGGAAAGATGGTCTTGTTGGGATTGTGAGAAGCAGTCGTTGGAGGTTGCTGCTGCTTCTCTTTCTTCGGTCAGTGGACCGTCGCATGAGTCGAAGAATCAGCTGGTACATGCTGCGTTTGTTTACCCGGGAAAGAGCAGGTATTCATGATCTCATGCTTAAGTTTATACGCTCATCCCTCTCTCTCTCTTTCGATCTTCTTTGGCAGTCACCTTTTTATAACTCTTGATGATTAGTTTGGTAGCAATTGGATCACGCTACAGATAAAAAGGCAAGTCTTCAGCCAGGATGCCATGCCTCTCTGCTTCTGCTCGTCGTCGACACACAAAAATGAGATCTCTTATCTTTCTAGGCTTCTTGGCAGCAGCTATTCAGGTCAACGCCCAGCAAGGTAAGTATATAATCAAAATCGTGTTTTTCCAACGGATTAAACTTGGTTTTCTTTTTCGTATCCAAAAAATAATTATGCTATATCATAGTGTTTTCTGTTTCCTTTTAGAGCAATTACAGTGTTGTTATTGCCGTCTCATCATGTCTTGCAATATGGTGGATCATCTCTCTGCCCCAGTCGGAGGAGGGTTTGGAGTTTTGCATCTCTTTTTACGTACTAATTAGCTTTGATAATTATTTCGTGTATGATTGATTGAAAATGTCAAAACCTTTAACTTCTCTATATGAATAGAAGATCAAATCCTACGACTTCTCTAGATAAATCCTCCTAATAATTTTGTGATTTTTTTCTACAGGCTTTTTGCTTTATGGTAATTTTCTCTGTATAATTCCGCAGGCTTCTTGAGCATAGACTGTGGCATGGAGGGAGATTCCAGTTACAACGACACCGCCACCGGCATCGTATACGTACCGGACGCCAAATACATCGACTCGGGATCGAACCACAAAATTTCCAAGACTTACATGGACGCTACTACTCCAGCACAGGCCGAGACGCTGCGAAGCTTCCCAGATGGAGATCGCAATTGCTACACCATCGACGGAATAAACCAAGGAGAGAAGTACCTCATACGAGCTCTCTTCTTCCATGGCAATTACGATGGAGTGACTCCGGTTGCATTTGACCTTCATCTCGGGGTGAACACTTGGCAACGAGTGAATATTACTGAACCAACGGTGTCACCTCGGGTCGAGATCTTGACTGTCGCTCAGCAGGATTATTTCTCAGTTTGTCTGGTGAACATTGGTTCTGGTACTCCATTCATTTCTGCGCTTGAGGTGAGGCGTATCGATGTCGCAGATGTTTACAAGGACGATGTGAATCAGTCCGACTCTCTTGTTCTCGTTGGTAGGCTGAATATGGGGGCTGCTGCTGCTGCTAAAAAAATCATAAGGTTAGTGTTAGACTCGATCTCCAAGTCCTTATCAAGTATATGAAACAGCAAAAGAAAAGTAAAAGCAGGACGAGCTATTTCTTCCTCCTCTGTCCTATGCTCTCGTGAATCAATTAAGCACAACTCTGTTAGCTCCCCGAATTCGCACTAAGAATTCCTTCCTGCAATCTGAATGCTCTTGTCCGATCTCGTGAATGTTTGTGGTTGCGTACACATGTGTACAGGTATCCAGATGACGCCTACGATCGCAAGTGGGAGAGCTTTTCCTCTCCACCTCAATGGTCAGAGATAAATTCCTCGCAGCCGATTCAGAGGAGCCCAGGAGATGCCTTCCAAGTGCCTGCTGCTGTGATGGCCACCGCCGTGACGCCAAAAGATAACACTTCTTTGCAGTTCTACCTACCCTCGGAAGCCGGAGCCATCCGTCCAGTGTACTACATATACATGCACTTCGCGGACTTCGACCCCCTCAGCCAGACGGAGACGAGAAGGTTTGATGTGTATGTGAACGGCCAGCTAAAAGGGAGCAGCGTCAAACCGGAGTACCTCCTGTCGACTCATTTAAACATCACGTCTGAGCTCGGAACGGCGATCCGGTACGATTTTAGCTTGAACAGTACGAGCGGCTCGACCCTTCCCCCCATCCTCAATGCGGTAGAGGTCCACACCACTCTAACACTTCCCGACACAGCAACCGACAAAGATGACGGTACTTAATCTTGGCTTCCATTTTAGATTTAATGTTGTACCTATTAATTTTTGTCTTTCTTATCGAAATAATATGTGAGAAAACTATGGACTCCGAAACTCGGATCACAGGCATCTATGCTCGTCATGTTGTCTGTGAAACTATTTGGTCCATAAATAGTTAGAGTGATCCTATATTTTAAAGCATGAAATAAATGAGCCAATTATTTTTTTGCATGTTTCCCTTGTGAAAATGGCAGTGGATGCTATGATGAAGCTGAAGGATATGTATAAAATGACCACATGGCAAGGCGATCCATGCTCTCCGGAAAAGTATAGATGGAGTGAAGTAAGTTGTACCATCTCTGCCTCTGAACCCCCGAGGATCTCATCCTTGTAAGTTCCCTGATTTATGTGACACTCAGAAAGCCTCTTCTTGTTGATAATCTAAAAGAAAAGATATATTTTTGTTACTTGTACCAAATAGTTCATCTCTCTCTATGCAGAAATCTTTCTTCTCATCGGCTGAGTGGTTCGATACCGACTGTTCTAGGAAAACTCACTGCCATTAAATCATTGTGAGTGCAAAATTCCTTTCATCAATGGCCAATTTGAATTTTATGAGCTTATACTGTGGTAGGGAAATGCTGTCATGTGGTTGATCCAGAAAGAACAGGACTTTAAGCCATCTTTGTTTAGTTTCCATCTGTTAGTCTTATGAACATCTTGCAGGTCAGAAACAATTCACCAGAGTCGTAATAGAACATGACACCAACAGCAAGAATAGTGTGTTGCTGGAAATGTTCTCTTGAGCAACGAAATGCATTGTATTTCATATACTATATGGCTTGTCACTATCCTTTTTGTTCCAGGGACTTATCTTACAATGAGTTCACAGGGTCGATACCAAATTTCCTGGCTTCTATGCTGTCGCTTAGCATGCTGTAAGCGTTTGGTAGTCTCTTGGACAAACTCGAGCGTTTTGCTGGGATTTTTTTGATGGTTCAGAGTTTTCTTTTTCATGCAGAAATTTGTCACACAACCAGCTCAGTGGGTCCATATCTGCTGCTCTCCATGATAGAAAACAAAATGGCTCACTTGATTTAGAGTATGCTTCAACAATTGAAGCACCAGTTCGTGAGCAGTGATGGTGCCTTTGCATCTAATATGAGTTTTATTCTTCTGCAAGAACTGACGGTAATCCTCGTCTGTGCCCATACGGGGCTACGTGCAATTTTGTGGAGGAGAAGAAGAGCAAGAAGTTTGCAACGCCTGTAATTGTGGTGATTGTAATTATTGGAGCAGTCCTCGTAGTGTTACTGATAGTATTATCGGTGTACTTGGCAAAGAGAAGACAACAGAGCACTCGACGATGTAAGTTATAATCTAATAATCTTCTACAAATAAGGTAGTAGCATCACCATACCTAACTGCATTGGATTCTTGGTGCTACCTGCTCCCCCACAAGTACATTTCTTCTATATAAGTTCTATATTGTTTATCTTACCTTTTCAGGTTTTAATATATCGATGCGCTCGTGCTCGGTGCACCTTACATTGGTACGTTGTGCATTGCCGTCGGTTACTTACATTTCGTTGTATGTATCATGCAGCGCAAGCGCCCAAGAGCCCGCTAAAGTTGGATGAATTAAAGGCCATGGAAGATAAACCAGTTGGAGTTGACAGTCATCAGTTCACGTACGAGGAGTTGAAGAACATCACCAATAACTTTGTGAGGGTTTTGGGCAAAGGGGGATTCGGGACTGTTTACTACGGTCGATTACCGGCCGATGGAACGGAAGTGGCAGTCAAAATTAGTTCCCGATACGCCGCCGCCGCAGAAGCGACGACTTGGTCGTCCACGTCCCAGACATCTGATTCTATGATGGACGGCACCAAGGAATTTTTGGCCGAGGCATGTCATTCAATACTAGTATGCGATGGCGATTTTTAACGTAATGATTCTTTTATTCTGGTTTTGGTTGAGGTTTCTTGCAGGCATCGGTTCTATCAAGAATTCATCACAGAAACTTGGTGGGTTTGGTTGGATTCTGCAAGGACAACAAAGTTCTTGGAGTTGTTTATGAGTACGTAGCCCAAGGAAGCCTCAGGGACAATCTTTCAGGTACCAAGATACTGAAAATGAAAAAAGAATCATTTCAAGTTGGAGTTGTTTAAGGCAGATCTTTCCAGGGAATATATTGTCAAATAATGGAATTGCCAAGCTTGATCATGTTGTTCACTAATTTTGCATCGGTGTAATAGATTTCTTGTTGGAACATGAAGCAGATGAACTATTTTTCAGGTCGCAACATAGATTAGTATTTTCTTGTATATATGAAAGTCTTATGTAATCTTATACATTACAGAGTTCATTTATTTTTGTTTCAGAGAAAGCTGGCGGAGGAGGCTTAAATTGGAGACAACGTCTACGGATTGCAATTGAAACTGCGTCAGGTTAATCTCACAGTAAGTACTATCGCCACAACTCTTGAACTATGTAGCTAATGATCAAGCTACAAACAGGGTTGGAGTATTTGCACAAGGGATGCAGACCACCTGTCATTCATCGAGATGTGAAGACCAGCAACATTCTCTTAGATCACAACCTGGAAGCCAAAATAGCAGACTTTGGGCTATCCAAAACTTTCCAAACTGATGCCAACACTCATGTCTCTACTGACGTGGTCGTAGGCACACCAGGATACGTAGATCCAGAGTAAGTTCTGCTTTCGATATTGAGCTTTATCAGCTCGACTAATGTCGATCGATCATATTAAATTCTAATGTATGCTTCGTTTCAGGTACCATAACACATACCAACTGAACGAGAAAAGTGATGTATACAGCTTTGGAGTTGTTCTTCTGGAACTCGTGACAGGGCTGCCCCCTGTGTTGAGGTACCCAGAAAGCGGTCACATAGTGCAATGGGTGCGGCAGAGGCTAACCAAAGCGGACATCAGTGAAGTTGTGGATTCAAGACTGGAAGGGCAATATGATATCAACTCTATCGTAAAGGTGATAGATATAGCTATGAGTTGTATCAACACGGATGGAAGTAAGAGGCCGACTATGTCTGAAGTGGTGATGCAGTTGAAGGAGAGTCTGCAAGTAGAGGCGAGTCAAGAGAGAGGTAATAGCAATGGCAATTTCGTGGAGGGAGTTTACAAGAGTCCGAGTGTCTCAGTTGAGATGGGACGTTTAGACATGGCAAATACCGTAAGCGGTCCAATGGCAAGATAGTGGCATCGAAATGCATGGATGCCATTTTGTGGAAGAAGACTATATGGTGGTGCATGATGTCTTGCATTATTTATAATTCATTTTGCTAGTCTCAGTGCCCTGAATGTGGACATGGAAAACGAGATTGTTTATTTGGTGTTGTGAAGGCTTTGGGTCGATGGATCAAGATTAATGATCCTTCTTTGAAATTGGAATGCGATCGTTTTGTCCGGATTTGTGTTGAGATTGATTTATCTTTCTCCACTCCCATCAATTGGTAGTTTTAGATTTGCTTGTACGAAAACCACCCTTCAATCTGCCTTCAGCCACAAGCTCTTGGAGTGCCTTGTTCAAGTGGCTAAGAGGCGGAGGTTGGGCGTCAAGAGGTCAGTTGCCCTCAGCAGCGAGGTCACCCCTATCGAGCATGCCCGGTCGGAGGAGGAAGGGGAGGTGTCACCGTCACCGTAGAATTGATTAATCGTATGTTCAATCTCATCCCTTTAAATTCCTTGAGTCGGTTTACTTGGTTGGCTAGTGATAGTCTTAAGAGGATCACGGATTGCAGCTCTTAGGGGTCTTCGTTTGGTTGCTTGGGATAAGATTATCCTTTCCAAGCATAAAGGTGGCTTAGATATTAAAGATTTATATTTGATGAGTCTGTTTTGTAGGTTCAATCTTGACTTTTATAGATTTATATTTATATGTGTTCTCTGCTTATAAAATAGTACATAAGCTATGAGTATTTTTCGACAAACATGTATGGTGTTCTTTTGCTGCCAATCTTCCATGCAGAATTGCTTTGCCAAGCTTTCGGTTGTCGAGGCACTCGTCAATTGCTTTTCTATAATAAACTCTTCTTTTTTATGTAAAAGATTTCACAGCTTCCTCTATTCGGCCCTCCGCGAACGTCCTAAATAACAATATAATAATACAAATATTGTCACATTTTCACAACCCAAATTATAGCGTAATTTGATCACTAACAAAAACATCTTGTTTTGATATCTCAATCACGTGAATTCTAGTTGCAACTTCTAAGAAATTTATGATCCCTTCTAAGAAATTGATCCAACATACTTAAGTCTAAATTAAAAATAATCATTACAATTATATTTGTGCTATTTCTTTTAGCATATGTAGGCCATAGGTCTTAGAATCCCAAACAATCAAGTTAATTACGGGTTGAAAAATCGAGCCCAATAATTCAATCCACAAGGTGAGCATCCGCAAACTTCGTTGCATATTGACTTGACGGTGAACTTTTGATTCATGGCATAGTTTATGATAGAACATGCGCTATGACTATTTTAAACTCTCTTTAAATCTTTAAATATTTTGATTAATGATTGATGTGAATGTAAACCGTGGAAACAACCACTCCATGTATAATTTTCAACAATATGGGTGACATTTCAAATATTTATAAAAACTCATAAAAGTGACATCCTTTATTGATAATTTTTTTTTGGAACATTAAGTAAGTAAATGTGAGTGATTTAAGTGGATTTTTTTCTTTGATTATTCTTTCAAAGAATAGACAATGAAAGTGGGTCAAGTCAATTAATCCTTTTTTTAATGATTATGACACGGTTTATGTTATGCACTATTTCAAACTCTATTTAAATCTCTACATCCTTTGGTTAATGATTGATGTGGATGTAAGCCGTGAATATTTTAAATATTTATAAAAAAATCATTAAAGTGATGTCCTTTGTTGATATTTTTTTTTGGTTATTCTTTTATATAATAGACAAAGTAGTCGGGTCAATTCAATGATAGTGATTGAGTATATTTCTCTTTATATTTTTAAAAAGTAAATGAACCTCAATAAGTTTTCCCGCTTTATAATGGCGAAATTAGTCTCACGAGTAGATGATTGATGATGCATGTTTGATAATTTTACTAAAAATAATAATAGGAATTATTATAACTGTACAAATTTATTGGGCTTGCTCTGCATTAGATCATTAAATTTTTATATTTGCTTTTTCTAGAAGTCTTGTTACAAATTTTGAAACTCCCGATTAAATCTCTACATCCTCATATAAAGATTGATGTCGATATAAGGTGTGGAAATAGCTACTGTTTCAAAGAGCAAATGACAGTGATTTAAAGTAGCATTTTTCTTTGATGTCTTTTCAGTGAAGACATATATTCTACGCAACACGACGGAGTGTCTCTCTCATTTTTTTCGAATCACATCCAGAAATTTTATAATGTCATGATACATAACTAATCTTATAATATGATCATATGAGTCTATTAGGAGCTTCCAAATCAAGATCACACGATTGAATCATTCTAACACATTAGTTGAGTTAAGTATATAACAATGATATAAGTGATTTTTTTTATTTTCTTCATTCAAGAATTAGATAATTCATTGGGTCAAGTAAACGATGGTGATTCAAAATAGCTTTCCTTGATTCCCTTTTATGAATGAATTATTTGACACGGCACGTAATTTTTACTATAAATTTCATGTCACATAAAAGGATGTGATAGTTGATAAAAAGGGTAAGCGATTTAAATGATTACTTAATAATCCATTTGAGAAATGATTCGGAGTTAATACCAATAAGAAGAAGCTTGCTATTTCTAATATACTAATGGAAAGCTTGCAACTCCTTTAAAAGATTAGATAAATTAATTGGATCAAGTAAACGATAGTGATTTTGAGTAGCTTATAATTGTATTTATCTTCTGAAATAAATAATAATAATAATTGGGTCAAGTAAATATTTGCAGTTTTAAGTAATTTTTTTCTTGTCTTTTCGGTGAATGGATTTCTCCTAGACAATATGATGGATCATCCTATTGACTTAAAAAATTCTAATGGCAAACAAGGCTTAAATATTTTAGATCAATATTTTAAATTTCACAAAATTAATAAGTTAATTATCTCAACAAATTGGATCTCGACGACATTGATATATTTAAGTTGTATTATTGCTTTGTTAATGGAAGACACTCAGTAATGATAAATCATTAATCTTTATTAGATAATCTAATTGATACATTTGTAATTTTCAAGTTATCTTTATATGAATCTAAGTTTAAAATTTGAATATATGTGTATCATATGATATATTAATTATAAATTTAAAATTATCATATAATGATCAAAACCTATGATCAATTAGCTCATAAAAAAATATATAATATATCTAATAAATTTAATGACATACATCCCAATCCAATTAACCTATATACAAAAGGAATTAAATTTAAAAAGCACTAGAGACACAAACTAGAAGAAGTCAAAGTAAGGATGCACAATTTCTTTATCAATTTGATGGGCAATTCAAAAATAACCTTTATTGTCTCTTTTTCACATTAATCGTCTTTAAGTTTTACAATTACAATTCGAGCCATAAATTAAGAGAAAGTTAATTAGTATCCCCACTATCTTACACCCAAATGAAAAGGAAAGTGATAGATTTGTATTAGTATAAAAGGACTCGAGAAACTTTTCTCCAAGAGCATAGATTTTTATTGTTGAAAATACATATGAGAGGAGAACACAAACCAATTCTTCTACCAAGTTTATTATCCAAGTCAATGGAGGTAGACTTAGTTCAAGATTGACTAATCCTCTATGTTATTAAATATGCCACTTGATCAGTCTCTCTCTCTATATATAACCAAGTAAAACACATTATGGTGAGTGCTCCATCCGTGAAGTCTCTTGACTATGTCCGTATGCCTTTGTCAAAATAGGTCATAATCATGGTGGACTAATATTTTAATATGGGGCTCCACTTTGACTTGGTAAAGATGGCCAAACTCATTTTGTTAATTCGTAAAACAAGGAAGATGTCCAAAAGGTCCATTTTGTAAACCGCAAAGTCGTCTCAAGTAAATGGATCTTCGCAGTTAAAAAAACAACGAAGGATGGTGACATATACGAGATAAAAAATTGGAAGTAAGATCAAACGATGAGAACTATAAAAAAGCCGGAGGTTGTTGCTGTTTCTCTTTCTTGGGTCGGCAGCCTGCTTGCATAAGTTGAATTTGGTGCAGTTTGCATTTGTTTAACTGAGAAAGACCACGTATTCATGATCTCATGCATAAGTTTATACAATCATGTTGCAGGCAAGTATGTATGTATTTAACCTCTCTCTCTCTCTCTCTCGCGATAATGAAGTTTGGTAGCAATTGGTTGACGCTACAAATAAAAAGGGCCGGGTCTTCAACCAGGAGGCCGTGTCTCTCTGATTCTGCTCGCCCAGACACAAAAATGAGATCTCTTATCTTTCTAGGGTTCTTGGCAGCAGCGATTCAGGTTGATGCCCAGCAAGGTAATTATATAATCAAACTCGGGGTTTTTTTTTTGTTTGTATGCAGATGAAGCGTGACAAAAAATAATTATGCTATATCATAGTGTTTTTTCTTTTTTAGAGAAATTATAGTGCTGTTATTGCCGTCTCATCTTGTCTTGCAATATGGTGGATCGTCTCTCTACTCCAGTCGGAGGAGGGTTTGGAGTTTTGCATCTCTTTTTACGTACTAATTATCTTTGATAATTATTTCGTGTATGATTGATAGATAATAATTTTGTTCCTTTTACCATTTTGATGCCCAAGATTTTAAGATGCTTAAATAATGCAATGGGCTGTCTCGATTTTGCGCACGTTAGATTCCTTTGTTGGCTGTGAACTTGATGATCTTATATCTTGTTTATGTTCAATTATATACTCCATATTTCACTTCTTCTTTCTATTTGGCAACTTTTGAGAGTATTTTGGACATTAGAAAAGAACACGCACTGATAACAACTCAAAACAAAAGGAGATATTTGTGTGATTGAAAAAGTCAAAACCCTTAACTTCTCTATATGCATAGAAGATCAAATCGTACTGACTTCTCCACGTAAATCCTCCTAATAATTTGCTTTAAGAAATTTTGAACCATATCTCAATTTGTATTTGTCTGTATGATTTCGTAGGCTTCTTGAGCATAGACTGTGGCATGGAAGGAGATTCCAGCTACAACGACACCGCCACCGGCATCGTATACGTACCGGACGCCAAATACATCGACTCGGGAGTGAACCACAAAATTTCCAAGACTTACATGGATGCTACTACTCCAGCACAGGCCGAGACACTACGAAGCTTCCCGAATGGATCTCGCAATTGTTACACCATCGGCGGAATAAAGCAGGGAGAAAAGTACCTCGTACGAGCTTTGTTGTTACATGGCAGTTACGATGGACTGGCTTCGGTTGTATTTGACCTTCATCTTGGGGTGAACTTTTGGCGATCAGTGAATATTACTGATCCTTCATATCTACTTAAGGCCGAGATCATCACTGTCGCTCAGGAGGATTATTTCTCGGTTTGTCTGGTTAACACTAATTCTGGTACCCCTTTCATTTCTGCGCTTGAGGTGAGACAAATTAGTAGCACAGATGTTTACAGGTATGTGAATCAGACCAACTCCCTGGTGCTTGGCACTAGACTGAACATGGGGGACGCTCCGAGCATCATTAGGTGAGTGTTGTTCCTCACTGGTTCAGTGATCATGCAAGATTCTTGATTTTGAAGTCCTAATCGTATGAAGCAAAAAAATCAAGACCTTTTTCTTGTTCTCGTAAAATATCAACCTACTCTTCAATCAATCTTTTGATACAGTGAACTCTAAGACTACCGGATCGAGATAGGAGTTCATTGTTTTGTTATTTATTTTTCTTTCTCCTCTTGCTCGAACGTTCTTCTCAATTAGCCACACTTCTTTCAGTTGACCACCGTCTCTCATGAGCACGCCATATACAGAATGAATGATCCGCAATCAGAGTGTTCTCGAGCAGACTCACGCTGTGCACAAAGGAGTTTTCATTTCTTTTTTCCTTGGTTGTAGGATCACCTGATGAACTGTTTGTTTGTGGTCGTACATATATATATAGGTACCCGGATGATGCTTATGATCGCTTGTGGACGCCCTTCTCCAATTTTCCGTACTGGTTCAACATAAGTTCCTCGGAGACGATTCAGAGAAACCCAGGAGATGAATTCCAAGTGCCTGGTGCCGTCATGGCCACCGCCGTCACGCCAAGTGATAACACTTCGTTGCTGCTTTTGATGTCCGCCAAACCGGGACCCGTCCGTCCAGAGTACTACGTCTACATGCACTTCGCGGACTTCGACGCCCCCAGCCCCAACCACACTAGAATGTTAGACGTGTACGTGAACAACGAACTCAAAGCGAGCAACTTTCAACCGAAATATCTCCTGTCAACTCATATAAGTCTCACGTATGACCTCGGGACGGCGGTCGAGTACGACATTGACTTGAACCATTCGGGTAGCTCGACCCTTCCCCCCATCCTCAACGCGATAGAGGTCTACACCCTCCTTTCACTTCCGGACACAGCAACCTACGAAAATGATGGTAGTTTATCTTGGCTTACGCATTTAGTTTAATGTCGTGTAGTTCCTTTTTCAGCTAAGGCTTCCAGTCTTTTTCTTCGCCGAGTTCCTCTTTCTCTCTGTTTTTTTCCGAAGGCGAAAATTGATGCACAACCTTCAAAACTCGTAAGACGTGATTTCGGACTCTTTGATCTTAAATGATACATTTATAGAATGAGGTTTAGAGTATATGATATCCATGATAAACTGTTGGTGAGCGCTGTCCGAATTTAATATCTCGTCGATTAATGAGATACAAGTTTTCCATTATTTTTATGAATTCGGACTTGCCCAGCATCATGCTTCTCTTGTGAATGTGTCAGTGGATGCTATGATGAATCTGAAGAACATGTATAAAATGACCAAATGGCAAGGGGATCCATGCTCGCCGGAGAAGTTTACATGGAGTGGGATAACCTGTTCCCTCTCTAGCTCTGTACAACGCCAAAGGATCACATCCTTGTAAGTTCCCCTGTTTGTAGAAGACCCAAACCTCTTCTTATCCAATTTTTGATAACCAGAGAAAAGGTTAGATTTTGTTGCTTACACTAATTCATCTTCTTTTGCAGAAACCTATCCTCTCTTGGGCTGAATGGCACGATACCAAGCGATCTAGCAAAGCTCACTGCCATCAAATCCTTGTGAGTTTGGCCATCATTGACGATTTTGAGTTTTGTCAGCTATCACTGAACTATGGAAATACTGCCGGTGGTTGATCGAGCATGAACAGGACTTAGAGTCAGCTAGTTAATTAGAATTTCTATTTGCTACCTTCTTTCTGCTACACCGAGTAACATCTTGCAGATGAGAAACAGTCACAAGTGTACTATCGGCCTTATTTTCTCTGTTTTTGTTTCAGGGACTTATCGTATAATAATTTCACAGGTCCAATACCAAGTTTTCTAGCCAATTTGGAGTCACTTAGCATGCTGTAAGCATTTAGAAGTCTCTTGGAAACTTGAACATTCTATTTGTATAGTTCAGAATCATCTTTTTTTCATGCAGAAATTTGTCACACAACCAACTCAATGGATCTATACCTGATGATCTCTATGGCAGACAAAAGAATGGCTTATTTCTTTTAAAGTAAGTCTCATCAATTCAGACCCAAACTCATTTTCAAGTGCATTGTGAGTAACGATGATGCTTATTCCCAATGGATTCTATTCTTATGCAAGAACGGACAACAACCCTCAACTGTGCCAGCATGGGGCTACATGTAATGTTGGTGTGGACGATGAGAAAAAGAGCAAGAAGATTGCCACGCCTGTTATTGTGGCTATTGCGGTGATCGGAGCAGTTCTTGTAGCATTACTGATCCTATTTTTGGTGTACTTGGCAAAGAGAAGACGACCTAACGCTCCACGATGTAAGTTACAACCTAATAATCTTCTACAAGTACGGTAGTAGCTTCACCAAACTCGACTGCACTATATTCTTGGGTGCTACCTGCTCAACGAGTGACAGATCAAAGTACATTGTGCATTGTCATCGGTTACTTACGTTTCGTTCTATGCATCCTGCAGCGCAAACGCCCGCTAGCCCACTAAAGTTGGACGAATTAAAGGCCATGGAAGAAAAACCAGTTGGAGTTGACGGTCGTCGGTTCACGTACGAGGAATTGAAGAACATCACTAATAACTTTGTGAGGGTTTTGGGAAAAGGGGGATTTGGGACTGTTTATTACGGCCGATTACTGAATGGCACGGAAGTGGCAGTCAAAATTAGTTCTCGATACACCACCGCAGAGGCGATGGCTTGGTCGCCTATGTCCCAAACATCTGATTCTGCAATGGCCGGCATCAAGGAGTTTCTGGCCGAGGCATGTCATTCAATAAATACTACAGTAGAATGTGATGGCGATTTTCAACTTAATGATATATATATTTTTGAGGTTGCAGGTATCGCTTTTATCAAGAATTCATCACAGAAACTTGGTCAGTTTGATCGGATGCTGCATGGACAACAATGTTCTTGGTCTTGTTTATGAATACGTAGCCGAAGGAACTCTCAAGGATCATCTTTCAGGTAGCAAGACTTTCAAAACTGAGTTGCTTCAAGATAATCTTTTCACCTCCACTTTTTTCAGTGATATTGTTCATTCTGGTTTCGCAAAATCCTTACTTGCGTAACACTGCACACGAAGGGGATGAATTATGGTGCAAATGTTACTTTTGTTTCAGATAAAGCTGGCGGAGGTTTAAATTGGAGACAACGTCTTCATATTGCGATTGAAACCGCGTTAGGTTTATCCACATTCGCAACCTTCCTCTTTTACTTCTCACAGTACTATTGCCACAACTCTTGAACTATATAGCTAACGATCAAGTTACAAACAGGGTTGGAGTATCTGCACAAGGGATGCAGACCGCCCATCATTCATCGAGACGTGAAGACCAACAACATTCTCTTAGACCACAACCTGGAAGCCAAAATAGCAGACTTCGGGCTATCCAAAGCTTTCCAAACTGATGCCAGCACTCATGTCTCCACCGACGTGGTTGTAGGCACACCAGGATACGTAGATCCAGAGTAAGTTCTCCTTTCCATATTGAGCTTATCTGCTAACCGATGTCGATCAGATTAAGCAGTAACGTATGCTTCGTTACAGGTACCATAACACGTTCCAGCTGAACGAGAAAAGTGATGTATATAGCTTCGGAATTGTTCTTTTGGAACTCGTGACAGGGCAACCCCCTGTGTTGAGGTCCCCAGAAAGCGGTCACATAGTGCAATGGGTGCGGCAGAGGCTAACCAATGCAGACATCAGTGAAGTTGTGGATTCAAGACTGGAAGGACAATATGATATCAACTCTATCGTAAAGGTCATAGATATAGCTATGAGTTGTATCAACACAGACGGAAGTAAGAGGCCGACAATGTCTGAAGTGGTGATGCAGTTGAAGGAGAGTCTGCAAGCAGAGGCGAGTCAGGTGAGAGGTAATAGCAATAGCGATTTGGTGGAGGGAGGAGTTTGCAAGAGTTCGAACGACTCCGTTGAGATGGCACGTTTAGACGTGACAAATATCATGATTGGTCCAATGGCAAGATAGTGGCATGATCTTAGTGATTGCGTTGTAGACGTGCATTCTGTGAACAAGTGTGTGGTGGTGCAAGATGTGGCAACTCAAGTGTCTTGTTGGCTTGCTTTGCTGTGTAATAAGATGGGAATTCTTGACAACACAATATTTTTGGATATATATATGCGTTACACAGTTTATCAGCTCCACTGAAGTTGAGTTCATGCTCATATCACACTCAGCCATGTAGTGGTTCATCTGCACATAGATGTACCAATGTTTGGATGCAATCCATATGCTTATAAATAATATGTTATCATCATTTTTTAACATCTTCCATTTTTCTGTGATCATGTTTTCTACCTCCATTCTTCTCATCTCAGTCATCCTGTTATCATACACTCAAATGAAGAGGAAATTATATACGCGGATCCCCAGTCAAGGGCGAATGGTGTTCAAGATCGTCTGACAACTACGACTACGACGACTAACAAAAATATTAATTTCTGTAGGCCATCCTCAATTCATTTACCAAATCAAATAAGCATTAGTCTCTACTGGAGAAAATATATTTTGACAGAAGTCAAGTTAAAAAATTTGAGTTTAAATTATAAAGCCAATAGTCATGTGTAGTTGAAAACTTGAAACAGCAGTATATTCAAGCTTCGGAATTAAATCCCAATAAAAAAATAAAGCATACTGAATCAATGACGTTGATCAATTCCATGGTTCTGGATTTTAGTGACGCTTGCACTAATGTAATGTATAGCTCATGAATACATTAAATTCTCTATGCTGAGATATCCTCTTGGTTCTTTTTTAACAAAAAGGAAAGATGTCGTAAATTATAGTTGTTTTTTGTTCCTACATTCTATCAATCACAAGGTGTCTCCGGTCGATGGATCTTCCAATTTGAAAGAGAAACAAGGATGCTTGTATCAGTATGATCAAAGTTTTAAGTCGGAACAAACAACGAGAAGTACATAAAAGTTCGCCAATCGAAAGCACTCATTTGGCGCCATTTAACGCACTGTTACAGGGGACTACAAAATCAAGATAACATCAAGCTGTTTAGGTGGAAAGAAGGACGTTTCTTAATCATGGTGGGGAGGGGGTGGTTGGAGAGACTCTTGACGGGTTCTCTTTCTTTGAGCAGCAGCCTGTTGCTTAAGTTGACTCTGGTGCAGATTGCATTTGTTTAACTGAGATATGATCTCATGGATAAGTTTGCACAAGCATGTTGCTTGCATTCTGATGTTTATCCATCAGAAATTTCGTAGCAAGTGAGTCACCCTATCTATATAAATAGACACAGCTCGAACCATGGCTGGTTACTCCTGCAAGCCAGTACACAAGATGAGGTCTCTTATTTTTCTAGGTTTCTTGGCGGTAGCTCTGCAGGTTAATGCCCAACAAGGTGCGTAGCAAGTGTTCCCGTCCTCCCAACTTTACATCAAAGCACAGCAGACTTTTATAGGTAAATCATCTTAATATTTCTGTATTATTCTTTCTACAGGTTTTGTGAGCATAGACTGTGGCATGGATGGATCTACGAGTTACAATGATACCGTCACGGGAATCAAATACGATCCAGACGCGAAATATATCAACTCGGGCGTAAACTACAAAATCAACAAGACGTTCTTAGAAACAGGTATTCCAGTGCAGGCCGAGACGCTGCGAAGCTTCCCTAATGGATCTCGCAATTGCTACACGATCAATGGAATAATCCAAGGAGATAAATACCTGATACGAGGTTTGTTCTTTCATGGCAATTATGATGGACGGACCCCGGTTGCATTCGAAATCCATCTTGGGATGAACTTTTCGCGACCAGTGAATATTACTGATCCATCGGATCTAATATGGGGGGAGATTATGACTGTTGCTCAGGACAATTCTTTCTCGGTGTGTTTGGTCAATATTAATTCTGGTACTCCTTTTATTTCTGCGCTTGAGTTGCGACATATTGGTAGCAAAGACGTTTACAAAGATGTGACTCAGACCAACTCACTGCTGCTATATGCTAGGGCTAATACGGGAGATGCTGCTCAAGACATAAGGTAAGCTCCTGATTGTTCTATGAGGAACATATATAATTAAATTAAGGGAATGAAATCTTATAAGAAACTATGACCTTAGTTATTTGGGCACTGAGATCTTAAGTCCTTTCTAAGAAAGGGTCTCTAAGATTGTTTTGCCTCCTCTCTTCCTCGTAGTTTTTTAGAATTAGCCGTAGCTTTAGCTGACTTATCCCCATCTATCTCTCTCAAGGCGTGTAGTGTTGGATTTTTTATATTTTTAAAAAAATAATATATAAGCCTCTCTCATCAAGTTAGAGTTAACAGACGTTAAAGTCTGCTTACATGATATGTTGATTCACAATAAACCATTAATATAATGACATATGTAATTTATAATTAAGATTTATTTTAGCCCTTGTAGTTTTACACATGGATCTTTTTAAGTCTTTATGGTTCACTCATGTATAAAATATTTCAAATATTAAAAAAAATAACATATAAGCCTTTCCCTTTAAGTCTGAGTTAATTTACGTTAGAGTTTACTTATGTGCTGACTCATAATAAACTATTAATATAATAACATATATAATTTAAGTTTTTAAAAAAATTGATACCTCCAATAATGATGGAAGGAGGCATCGTCGTGGAAGTGACCAGCAACAGTAGCACTGAGCTATTGTTACTTAGTAGAGCATCATATGCACATAGCTTCTCTCATATTGATGACGAGCTTAAGAGTTTTCGATCCTACCTCAAGTGGATGTGTGTTAACAAGACTAACGCTAGGCACACAATGGTCTCCTGATCCCTCTTTCTTCTCCTAGACGTCTTCCTCCTCATCGCCTCCCACTTTATTCTTTCTTGCACCCTTACCTACCAGGCCTATGGTGGTCCAGCTCTCCCTCACCTCCGTCTTTGATCTATCCTACCTCTATCTCTCCGCCTTCGTAGATCGTTACGATCTTCGTTGCTTTCTCTTCCTCAATAAGCTAGTTGGGGAGAGCTATATGGACCAGCTCAATAGCTCATTCCACCTGGTCTCCATCTTCGTAATATTGTGCTTCATGGGAAAGGTGCCTTGTAAGGTATGGTGGTATCCAGTAGGATCAAAGCGGATATTGTTTACAGTAGTGGGCAACGCTGTGGTGGGCGACGTGGTGGCATGCGCCCTAGAGCTGACGAGCTGAATCTATCGGATGTCACTCATCAGTTCTAAGGTGTATGCCACCACCGGAAGAATTTATATGTTATGTTTTTAAAAATATATAAATTATTTTAAATATAAATAAATCATAAAAACTTAAGAGGTCTATTAGTCAAGGAACTAAAATAAACCTTAACCCAATATTATTCATATTCTGAGTAAACTGTTTATGTTTGCAAACATATAAGGTATCCAGATGATGCCTATGATCGGATCTGGGAGCCGTTCGTGACACCAACTGTATGGGCTGACATAAATTCCTCGCAGCCGATTCGGACGAGCCCAGGAGATGCCTTCCAAGTGCCTGCTGCTGTCATGGCCACCGCCGTGACGCCGGCAAATGGCACTTCTTTGACCTTCTACGTCGGAGTGGGCACCGGGGTCGTCTACTACGTCTACATGCACTTCGCGGATTTTAACGCCCTCAGCCAGACCGAGAATAGAATGTTTGATGTGTTCGTGAACGACGAACTCAAAGTGAGCAGCTTCAAACCGGAGTATCTCCAGTCAACTCATATAAGCCTAAGCGTCACGTCCGCCCCCGGGACGGAGGTCGCCGACAAGTTTACCTTGACCAGCACTAGTGGCTCGAGCTTTCCTCCCATTCTCAATGCGATAGAGGTCTACGGCGTCATCCCACTGCAATAGAGATTTACAGGGCACAGCAACCTACGTACAGAGATGATGGAAGTTGATCTTGTGCCTAAAGCATTAAGGTTAATGTTGTGTGGTTAATCCGTGTGTACTTTTGATGACAGAAGAAGTAATCGTATTTCATTAAATAAGGCTTGAACCAAGTCAACTTTCCTTGTATTTTCCCAAAAGTTGTCAGTCTCTACTATCATATCAGCTTCGACTGGCTCTTCTCAGGACTTCCCAAGCTTCTTTATCTGCAACAGTGGGGGCAAAAAACATAAATCTTATTTGATATGATTCTTCCTTATCTACAATGATATTTCGTAGGAGAAGGTCCCCTTGTTGGAATAAATTAAATTGAGTATTAAACTTATTTTTGCTGGATATAGGTTTTTAGAGAAAGAAGATGTATTATACTGTAAGGTTATGATAGTCTTAGCTGGATTGCAAACGATTGTGGAATCCGATTGAGCGGATGTGAAATCTGATTGGTTGATCATTATCAATATTTTAAAACATATTTTGCTTGCTCCATGATTCATTAAAAATATTATTTTATATATTTGAGCCTTGTAAGATTGTTTTGATGGATGTAGTCTTTCTCATTTATATAGGGAGAGTAACGAGATGACTAATTGGTTGGTCAAGTATGGTGGACTGACTAGGCATCCGATTAGATATGACATGTAATTGGATTGTCTACATGTGAGACCCTTTATCAAAACTTACAATCAATTGGCTCATGAAGTATATATAATATGTTTAATAAATTTAATGATATACATCCCAATCCAATTAACATATATTCAAAATAAATTAAATTTAAATGATGCTAATACAAATGGTTATCACTACCAAATCAAAGGAATGACAATTTCTTTATCAATTTGAAGGGCAATTAAAAAATAACCTTGTTATCTCTTTTGCATATTAGTCCTCTTTAAGTTTTACATTTACAATTAGGTCCATAAATTAAGAGGAAGTACTATAAAAGGACTTCAGAAATGTTTCTTTGAAAACATTGATACTCTTGAAGAAAATTTTATTGTTAGAAATACATATGAGAGGAGAACACAAACCAATTCTTCTATGAAGTTTATTATCGAAGTCAATAGAGGTAGACTTAGTCTACCTCCATTTTGTTTTGCTGAGAAATCCAATTAACAAAACAGTTTGCATTTGCTTAACTGAGAAAGACCACGTATTTATGATCTCATGCACAAGTTTATACAATCACGTTGCAGGCAAGCATATATGTATTTAACCTCTCTCTCTCTCTCTCTCTCTCTCTCTCTATTTGGCAACTTTTGAGAGTATTTTGGACATTAA